TTAATTTTTTAAGAGATGATTAGCCATGAAAATGAATAGAAATGTTGGTAGTCTTCCTCTTTACCAATAATACTCCTTCCCTCTTGGCATATTATTTGACTTATCCAATTAGAAGGGCTTGGCAGTCTTATGATATTTGATTACATAAAACAAAATTTATTTCTAGAAAATAAATTCTGTATAAATTGTACCAAGTGTAAAAAACTCCAGGTCTTTTTTTCCACAGAGTCCCATGACTAACAATTCTTCCCATAGCAATATTTCCCTCATCATAAATGTAGCATCAAGTCCTTGGGGTTTAAAAATAATACTTGACGGTGGCAAGTAATGCCACCATCTGTGACTGCCAGGAGCAGGATCTGTCATGTCTTAGTGACGCCAGGTGGCTTTGGTCCAAAGCCCTCTGATGGGACCCTCGAGTCATTAAAAAAAAAAAAAAAATGAACCCTTCCTCATGCTGTTGTTCTCCACTGAGAAACTCCCTCATAGATCCGTCTGAATAAATCCTCCACAGCCTTCAGGACCCAGATCAAGTTTTATCTTCTCCAAGAAGCCTTGTTCTCCCACTTCTGGAAGTGCCCCCCTCCTTACACTTGAACTCCTACACTTGAGCACTTAGTACAGCATACCATTTGGTTCTATCTTCAGTTATTTTTTTGTAGATTAGACTTGGGTACAGCGCCATGTCTTCTACCCCGCGTCCGCTTCCCATGGGGCCTAGTACAAAGCACAATGCTCATAAGTTGTGCTACTTAGAATTTGATGGCTAGCTAAGGGCTGGCATTCTTACAAGTGCCCAAATCTTAGAACAGCTGACAGATGATAATGGGACCACGTTCTCAGGATCATGTAGTTTGTAAGCTGTCCAACTCCAGGGAGCTCCAGCCACACGGGCCATGAAGTAATGTCACCCACTGGCTTGTACAACACGGCCCCGCGTGTCCTCTGCATGTACACGTGGCCTGTGTTGACACATTACTTCCTTGCTTTGGCTGCTTTGGAGAATCTGTCCTACCTCCTTCCTTTAATATTTTTGTCTGTTTCAATGGGAAGTGAAAAATTAGTGAGGAGTAAATCTAACCCTTCCATAACTCTTTGGGATAATGCTTTTCAAAATGAGATCCTGGACCCATGTAGCAGAAAAACTTTTGGGATGCTGGTTAAAATGCAGATTCTTCAGCGGCTTGATAGACCTGAAGGAGCAGGGGAGTGGGGGCTGGAGACTTTCATTAGCAAGACTGATGATTCTTATGCACTACACTGAAATCTTCGGAAATAATTGTTGAACTAGCTTCTCTTCTCAGTAAGGTGGGAACTGTAGTGCCCCAGAGGATCAATTACCACTGTCCTTAACCTGTCACACTATTGTAAACCTTTTCTGACTCACTTAAATTCAACCACTACTTAGTAAGTAGCTGCTCTATGCTCTCCATTGTCTGGCCACACTGGGAGAATCAGATGTGAACTATATGGCCTTTGCTTTCAAGGTGCTAATAATCTATGTGGAAAGAAAAGATATACAATAAACGTGTACTCACATACGTATCTGTGTGTGTATATATATATATATATATATATATATATATATACACACACTATATATATATGTGTGTACACTTACTATATATATAGTGTATATACACTTACTATATATATAGTAAGTGTGTGTATATATATATATATATATATATACACTTACTATAGAG